TGGGATTGCAGATGAACCCCACACTCCCAGCTAATTTATGGTCTTCTTCTAATGCTTCCAAAACTTATTTCGGTCAACTCAGGGCTTGGAGCTGTAGTGCTCTGCAGAACATCCTTCTTCGACATTTTCCACATGGTCACTTATTTATTCGAGAGAGTTGGAGTTTTTTTGAGAGAGTCAATTTCAGATAATGAAATTCAGGAAGAGACGTTCTCTGAGGTTTTGTATTGTAATTCATAACAGCATGCACATATAGTGTGCTGATAACTGAATTTAACCAATTGTGTTTGCAAGAGTAAGGAAAGCATACAGTGAACCTATGGCAACAGAATTTCTGGAGCAAGTACTGACTTAAAATAGCAAAATGCTACAAACTTATGTAAATTGTTTTTTTTTGAATGCAATAATTTTTTTCTATAAAACTGATCCATTCATTGCATAATTAAATGAAATCTACTACCTATACCTATGTAATAAACTCACAAATCAGGAAGGGTAACTGATAGATCTGTGTGGTAGACATGAAAGTGAGCCACCCAGATCCCCTGGGGGAAGGACATGTGCTAGGAGGTGTGTGGGGGGTTGTTGGGGGAAGCAAAATACACCTCCAGCTGTCAGCTGCTTCAGGGGTTGCCCAGGGCAGAGCCTCCTTGCTCAAGGGTCATGCCTTCCCTGTGTCCTTGACAGAGTCATATGCTTACATCGTAGCCTGCAACTCTGCAAGTCTCCTCCTGGGCTCCTGCAGTTTAACTTCTCCCTCTACCCAGTGCTGCTTCTTCAGACTTCTTTCCTGGGTGTGGATCCCTAAAAAACATCCTGATCCCCAAACTCAGCCTCAGCCTCTGAAGAGCTCAACCTGTAATGTTGTATAATTGGGTAGCTACACCACTGAAAGTATCATGATCCCAAGAGTTCAAGATTTTTCCTTAAAAGAAACAACATGGGTCTCCTGATCTCCTACTCCAGCCACCCTCTTTTTGACCATTTCCCCAACGAGTGCATGCAAGCGTTTGCAGATTCAAGATAATAAACAGAAATCAAATCCCCTTACTTCCATTCACTCAGATCCCCAGGTTTTGTAAGGTGATATAAAATATTATTGTAAACTTTTGATTCGGAAGTAGGACATCCTTGGCCCAGGTATTTCCTTTTTTTTTTGGTGGTATTGAGGTTTGAACTCAGGACTTTGTGAGGTGCTCTACCACTTGAGTTTAGGTATGCCTCCTGCCCTTTTCATTTTAGTTATTTTTCAAATAGGTCTTGCATTTATGCCTGGGCTGGGCTGGACTGCGTCCTGTTTATGCTTCCTGTGTAGCTGGGATAAAGGGATGCACCACCATGCCCAGCTTTTAGCTTTATTGGTTGAGATTAGGTCTTGAGAACATTTTTGCCCAGGCTACCCTCCAATTGTGATTCTCCCAACCCATCTCCTTAGTAGCTGGGATTACAAGCATGAGCCACTGTACTGGTCTGGGTCCAGGTATTTTAAATTGAGGGCAGCACAGCAAGCGTAGCAATTGCTGCGTGTTATTTCTCTTTTGACAAACGTTTATGGAACCCACAACTTAGCAAGAGGAATGGTGGGTTTCTCCACTATGTGGTAGCAGTTTTGCCCAGAGTTTAAGGTCACATGCTTTATTTATTTATTTATTTTTGAAACAGGTCTTGATAGATAGCCCAGGCTGGCCCCACACTCATGGTCCTCCTGCCTCAGTCTCCCGTGCTGGAAGTACAGGTGTGCCTCCACATGCCCTGCTTGGATGTTGTGCTTTTTTCTTTTTGAAAGGAACTTGATCATTTACTGAATCCACTGGCTAAAAAGATTGAATTTTAACAATTTTAGTCTAACCATCACTGCAATAGCATTTTATTTTAGTACTTTTGTACTTGTTCACTTTGCAGTGCTGAGTATCAAACCCAGAGCCTTCAGCATGCAGACAAGCATTCAACTACTAAATTAAATTTATCAATTTAAATTTTAAAGGTATTAGAATATTAATCCTGTGTTGAAACTTGCTATCTTTTAAAATGCACTATTTTTGTAACACTTCCCACATCCCGATTCTTCCACTTAATTAAGTATTGCTTGAATGATCAGAATTATTATTGTAAAAATGCAATTTGTGTGTTACCAGAGGTCTTGTCCCCACAGTCTATGAAGTATAAAACTTTATAATTATATTTTGGCAAATGTACATTCCTATTTTACTGCTAAAAGACCTATCAGTGAGGCTTTTCACTAACCTGTCTGACACAGGTTTCTGTGGGTTAGGTTCCTGGCAATCTAGATTATTGAATTTAAATACACACTTAAAGGTATATGTACACACAACACACACACACACTCTAGAATAAGAGAAAATTGACTGGTGAGCCTTTTCTTTTAAAGAAGTCTTCCCCACCCCAGCCTTTTCTTCTTCTTCTTCTTTTTTTTTTGTACTGGGTGTTCATTGTGGCATTTACAAAATATGAATTTACCCCCTCCACCATTCTGCTTTATCCTCCCTTCTCTTTTCTAATCTGTCTCACAAACACATAATGACTGCTGCTCATTTATTCCTCCACCACAAAGCTACTCAATAAATTAATATATGCAGAGCTCAAATAAACACAGAGCTCTAAGACCTAGCACATGGATCCCTGATAAGTGATATTGTTTATTTATGTTTTCAACCTCACAGGAATCTGAATGAATATCTTCTCTGGCAAAGACTACATTTCTGCAGGAAAATGCCAGGAAAAGAAAATGCAGAAAAAGAGCCAGAAAACAACCCCCCAAAAAAAAAGGAGCCTTGAGGGTTTTGTACCATTTTGATATTAAAAGGAAGGTGCTTATGATTTCTTTCACCTTTTAGTTGCTAAAATAAGGAACTCAAGAATTATTTGAGATGTTGTGTTTGCTTGGTGTGGTTTTTCAGTGAGGAAGCTATTGTACATGTACATGGCTTATAGTGAAAGGTGTGGATGGTATCTTACCCTGTTTTGTGTTGCTTTCAGAAAATACCTGAAACTGGGTACTTTAGAAAAAGAAGGAGGTTTATATTGGCTCATAGTTCTAGAGGCTAGCACAGTTGGTGGCAACTATTGGGGTCTTTGCTGTGTCATACATGGTGGATGGTATCACACACTGGAAGTCATGCAAGAGATCACATAGCCAGAGAGGAAGCAAGAAAGGAGTAGGGACCAGGCTTGCTCTTTTGTGACAGCCTGCTCTTGTGGGAACTGGCCTACTCCTGCAAGACCCAATCTATTCCTCAAGAGCAGTGTCAGTCCCCTCACAAGGGTGGACATGACCACATCACCTCCTACTAGGCCCCACCTTTTAAAGATCCCACCACATCAACACTGACAACTGGGGACCGAACTTGCAGCACATGAGCCTTTGGGGATAAACCACATTCAAACCCCACAGATGCTTACATCCTGAAGCCCTTCTACATGGTTTCTGGAGGAGTCTTGAGGTTGTGGTGGACCTGCAGTGCCAGAGAAGCTCTTACAGAGTTGACTGTGGGCATCTCTTTCCAACAAAATCCAAATCAGAATCCTCAAAGTCATGGTTTGGAATTTGCCAAGGTGGGAGTATTTATACCATGAGGTGAACCAGTTATCATGAGCACATCATTGGCTTTGGGAGAATCCAATACTGACAGTTTTGGGAGTGGACAATTTTACTGGATTTGGAGCAGATTTCTGTTTTTTTTTTGGTGGTACTGGGGTTTGAACTCAGGACCTCATGCTTGCTAGGCAGGCACTCTACTGCTTGAGCCATTCTGCCAGCATGATTTCTAGAGACAAAGTACAACAAGTAGTCTCTTGACTTGTTCTAGGTTAATGGAAACTCTACTATGTTTAAAAATCATGATGATGTAGATTTTCAGGGTAATACAAACTAAAATTAGAATTTCAGATCCTAAGTTTCATTGTACTTTTGATGAAAATTTGTATCCTAAAACATAATCAGGCAATAACCTAAACACACAGAAAAATTTTTAAAATGATGAAATTAGCCTTGGAAAGTGGAAGTCAACCTATATTTTTTCTTTGGTTTGAGACTTTTAAGGTGAGCCATGTATAATTTCATTTTCTAGAATATGTAGGATTAGGACACACGGATGGACCAAGGTGAAAATGTTGAAGGGTCATCTCTGGGAATCTACAAAAGATTAAAAGAAGAAAGGTAGTTATTAATAAAGTATTAAATGAAAATGTTATAATTCAAAGGCAAATTATATATATTTTAAAAAGAACAAGTCAATGTCAACTTTATTTTTATTAAAATTATATATTTTCATATTCAATTCTTTAGTCACAAATTTCTTTATCTTCATAAACATCTTTATATACATATATAAATTATACACATATGTTTATATGCATCTGTTTGTTGAGACAGGGTACCACTATAGAGTCCAAGCTGGTCTTGTCTCAAACTTGTGATTCTCCCACCTCACCCTTCCAAATGCTGAGATTATAAACATACACCACTATGCTCAGCTCCTGTTTGTTTTGTTTTTGGTGCTAGGGATTGAACTCAGGCCTCTCAAATGCTAAGCATATACTCTGCCACTGAGCTACACCTTCAATCACTATTCTTATAAACTTCTTGTGTTTGAGATAAGATGCATCTTACTTAGAAGCCCTGTAATTTCCAAGGCAGAACGTGCAATCTAATTTTATACCAAATACTCATCTATGGCTTCAGTAAGCATTTTAATATTTTCTGTGATCATTCTAGATCTATTTTTCAACAGCTGGCAAATAGAACTATATTCTGTTAGCGTGTGATTACAAGGCATATCAAGCTGTGCCCAGTGACCTGATGTTTTCATTTAAATTATTTTTACTAGTTTTCTTAACAAATATTTTCTACATAATTGACTGGGTCAGGTATCTAGTAAATGTACTTTGATTATCAAGGTAATAAAAATGCCACATCAATTGCATTTTGATAAAATACTTGAAGAAGTGACTTACCATATCCATTTGCTATTAGCACTGACTGTAATTTCCTCCTCTCTCTCCCCTCCCATCCCCTCTGCCTTTCTTTCCCTCCCCTTCCCTCTCCTCTCCTTTCCTTTCTTTTTTTTTTTGTTGGTAGTGGGGGTTTTTTGAGCCATGCCTCTAGTCTGTTTTCTTTAGGTTATTTTTCAGATAGGGTTTCAAGCTTTTAGCCTGTGCTGGCCTTGGGCTGAGATCTTCCTACCTATGCCTCCCACATAGCTGGATTTCAGATATGCGCCACCACGACTAGCTTATTTATTGAAGTGGGGGTCTTGCTAACTTTTTGCCCAGGGTGGTCTTGGACTCTGATCCTTCAGGTCTCTGTCTCCTGAGCAGCTGGAATTACAGACATGAGCAACCATGCCTTCCCTCAATGTGCTTTCTTTTCTTTTTTCTACTTTTTTTTTCTTTTGGCAGTACCGAGGTTTAAACTCAGGGCTGTGCTCTACCACTTAAGCCATACCTCCAGCCAAAAGTTACTTTACCTTCCAATTTTTTTTCCTCAGTGGGTCTGAAGCAAACCAACATTTGAAGAGTTTGCTCACCTGGCAGTTCCTTTGAAGCATACAGGAAGTGGTAAGTGGAGTCAAAGTGACAATTTTTCATTGAAAGATTAGTGTGGCCTGCATCGAGAATCTTAAAGTCCACATAGGGATGATTAGAACAAGGACTTCCCTTACCATGTCAGTAAACTGATCCACACAGGCCATCCGAATCAGCTCAGGCGTTGCTGGGCTACTCATGGGGAAAGTCTTGCTCAGCCCCCTGTCTCTGCGGGCAGCCGTCACTGCGTCATATATGGCGAGCAGCACAGAGGACCCTAGGAACATTCCAGCCTCGCCCAATCCCTTAGCGAATCATAAATGGCAGTCAGAAACACACACAGAGACACATTCATTCCCTTCTTCTGACTATCAACCCCCACGTGGAGTGCTTCTGAGGTACCACAATTGAACCCTTCTTAGTCATTTGTGATGCGGGGGTCCTCCTGTGAGTAGCACGTGCCACAATTCAGGCAACAGGACAGCAGGCAGCTAAAACTCTTGTTCTCCTTCCCAGGTAAAGTCCTGAAGACCAAAGTCCTCAGTGCAGTGCTCTTCAGGATACTCCAACCTTGCTCCAGCCATTTGTCCTTTTTTTTTTTTTTTCTCAGTGCTGGGGATCGAACCCAGAGCCTTTTGAAAGCAAGGCAAGTACTCTACCACTGAAGCCACATCACCAGCCCCCAGATCATTTGTCTTTAATTCAAAGCCAAAAGGAAATGACACAATCTTGCAGCTTCCCCTTCATGTGTGCTCACTCCCTCAGCCTGTGCTGGGTACCTGTGAATGAATGGCCACAGTTGAAGAAGGGGTGTGTGTGTGTGTGTGTGTGTGTGCACATTCATTCTTGAGAACCCTGCCTGCCATAGGTCCTGGGTGGTTAAAGGCCACGTGCAGCAGGGAGCCTGGAGCTGACACCTCAGGATCAGTGGCTATGAACACCTCAGAGCAAAGGCCAGGGAGAAAGGTGCTGCCTGGGGAAGGATGAAGGAAGGGCAGCATGAGCAAGCACTGAGTCTGTGGGAAGTGGGCAGGAAAGGGAGCTCTGGGCTGAAGCAATTTGCATAGAAGGTAGTTTATCTCCTGGTGGCACTCAGCCTACTGAACCAAATATTCAGCAACTTCCTGACCTCTCTCATTTGAGTTACATTTGTTTCATGTCTCCCGTGAGAATGAAAAGCCTACTCTGGCTTCATCCTGCCAGGAGCATACTTTCGCCCCTTTGTCCTTTTGGGATTTGCAATTCAAGGGAGCAAGAAAATTCAGGGGAATGGCTAATGAGCTCTTGAAAGTGGAAGTTGTTATGGGATGAATTTTATCTGTCCTTAAATTCATATGTTGGAGTCCTAACCTCCATTACCTAGGCATGTAACTGCATTTGGAGACGAGATCTTTAAAGAGGAGATTAAGTTAAAATGAAGTCATTTGGATAGGCCCTACTCCAATGTGACTGGTGTCTTAAGGCACAGAAAATGAGACTAAGACAGATGGTTCTGTGGATGGAGGGATGGAGGAAGGCGGTGTGAAGAAACAGGGAGGAGAAGATGAAAACCATGTACAAGCCAAGAGAGAGAACTCAGAAGAAATCAACCCAGCCAACACCTCTATGTTGGACTTCCAGGAACAAAAACTGTGAGAAAATTAATCTCTGTTTAAGCTACCCCAGTATGTGGTATTTTGTTATGGCAGCCTGAGCACCCTTATGCAAAAGTATAAGGGTCTTACCTTGGATGAGTAGATGGCTATGGGATTTCGTGAGCGTACCAACGTGACATAGAACTCTTCTGGTATCTCAGTGACAGTAGGGATTTTGTAGTTATCTGGGCTCCGAGAATAAAGCACCCCTTCCAGGGAGTATTTCAGTTCTTCTGTGGTATATAACCCCATGCCTTGAATAAAGGCTCCCTCAATCTACGGCCAAAAATGTCACAGGTGAGAAGTATGCAAAACTGATTGAATAATTAGTCTAGTGTGAATGACAGTGGCGCTCTGGATTATAGTAAGCCATTCTTGAAGGTATTGCAGTGGACTTTACCAAAAGTCCTACAGGACCTCCAGGTCTTTGTAAATGCAGTCTGTCCTGATTCTCCTCACCCATGCCCACCTCAACGTGCCCACCTGGCAAACTCCGATTCACCCTCCAAGTTCCAAATGAAGAATGACCATCTCTCCGGAGCCTTTTGGATGATCCCATCACCCCTGGGGTGACTTTAGGAACTGCTTCTTCCAGACTCACTCCACCTCGAACTCACAACCCATTGTGGGAGCACTTGGAGGTTATTTTCCTTCTTCTTCTCTCTTTCCTTCCCCCCACCTCTCTCTCATATTCTAATTATAAACACATGTTCGCTGAAGAAAAATTAGGTAATACAGAGCATGTACAATAAATGATATCTATTCCTGCCATGCAAAGACACTCATTGTTAGTGTTTTAAGTTTCTTTCAGTATTTTATCTCTGTGTGTGTACCCGTGCACACATGTATGTGTGTAATACATAACATACATTGCAGAATGCTTGCATGCAGCTTGAGCAAGGTTTGGAGGATGCTGACAATAGCTGCTGAATAGGATTGACAGATATCTCTATGGAGAAGGTTCTAGAATCACATACCTGTCCAATATCAAGGGCTGGGTTTATACTGAAAGCAGCATCCATGAAAATATCAGTCCTAAGAAGCTGCAGCAAGAGAAAAACACAAAATGGACAATATTATTTATTTAAAACAGATTTATACTAACATTACATATCTGTCTCCCTGTTTCTTCCACTGGGAAGATTAAGTTGGTTATTATATGCAGTACAGACAACACATCCATGTTTGTGTTGACACTGTGAAGGTGATGCGTACAAACGTCGCTCTTTACCTTATGAGCCCCAGTCAGACAGTCAACTTCAACCTCAGAACAGGATGCTCCATAAACAAAATAGGGGTAAGGGTCTCCTTCCTCCTTCTCCCAGTCCATGTGTGTCTGGTAACCGCTGAGAAGAGAAGTCAGGAGTGAAAAAGAAAAGAAAGGCATTTTCCCCACTAGTCTGGTCCCTAGTGTGTGAGGTCCTGGAGAAGACAGGCCAGAAGGGTAGCAGGCAACATCCCACCCTGTGGTTGAAGTCCTGCTCCCCTTCTCCTGTGAGGGACTTTGTGATCAGGGACACAAGGGCCCTGCAGAAGACTCTGGAGGTTGATGGACTGGTGTCTAACCCTGCCCTCCAGCCTGTAGGTTCTGGATGGGCCAGTTGGTGCAGGTAGCTATGGTCCCTCTTGGCTGCTGCCCCAGGCAGTTCTGGATTGTTCCCTAGTCTTCCCTCCTCATTTCCTTCCCCACCCCAAGGGCTTATCACTGGGCACACATCATCCCTGACAAATTAAAAACATCCTTTACTTGAAATATCCAGTGGCTGAGAGACTGATGGATTCTTTAAAGGCCTTTTCAATCTGAAAGAGATGGTAAGTCACAAAGAGATAGACGTTTAGGAAATGTAATGAAGAATGCCTTCCACACTGGGCTTGCTTGTACTCACATTTACTTTGAGTGAGACTTAAGCCTGAGTGGAAGCTGCAGGTCAGGCTTTGCAAAGGGGTGGGGGTGGGGGAGCTTCAGGGTGGCTGCCAGCTACCCTGGGACTCTCCATGACTTGGACTGCACGGTGTAAGACATTTTCACATTTTTGAACTTTTAAATGAGGGAAGGCTCTAGGCCATATTCACGTACTTCTGTACATTTTCACATACTTAGGTGTGAACACAGCACCTATACAGGTGTGAGCGTATGCATTTTCACCCTGCTTTGTTCCCCACTATTTTGACTGGCTGTTTCGCTCATGTTAGCTTCCCTGCTGGAGTAATCTGGGTGGGGATGGGAATAATAATGATAATGGTAATTGTTATATAACTGTTCAAAATGAAGCAATCCTGTGTTCTTAAACAGATATTATCTCCATTGGACAGGTGAGAAAACCAGTGCCTCGAGGCCCTTGCCCCACAGCCAGTCACAGCCAGTCATGACAGCACAGGGAGCAGTCCTAGGTGGGCTTTGCTTTAGAACTCACACTGCTCTCAGGCTCTGCAAAATAGCATGCTCTGAAATAAGTCACTTCTCAGTGAACATGTATGGCTCTTTTATCCTTTTGGAAAAGTAGAAGTAAATGTTAATACATGAACATTTGTGTTTGGTAGTTCTGGGGATTGAACCTAGAACCTCATGCATGACAGGCAAGTGCTATACTACTGAACTGTGCTCGGAGCACAAAATGAGGATTCTTGAATGGGCACCGACTCACATGGATGTCACTGCCTTTTCCTGGCTGGGATATTAAAGAGAACACTCACCATTCCTCCCATTTTCCTTTAGGGTTTTTCTGATGATGGGTTTAAGGCGGTCCATAAGAATTTGGCAGGCATTCTATAAATAAATATTTGCAGTGACATCAAAAATAAAAGGCACAGGGAATAGCACAATCTTAACTACTTAAATCAATTTTAATGGAGGCTGTCATTTCTATAGACTTACTTCCTTCTCCTATAAGATTTCTTAAACTTAAATAGTATAAAGACCCTCTTCAAAGGGAAAAAATCTTGTGAATTTTGCAGCATTGACTTAAAGTTATTTTTATTATAATATTGTTTAAATAAATGCTAACAAAGCTAAGAAGAGTCTCCTTAGAGTTATAGCTCTTTTGTAGCTATAAGACAAAACCAAAATGACAGACTGGACACATCCACCTATATACCAATAAAATTCAAAATAATAACATTAATTTAATTGAGAGATGATGTTGTTTTTCCAAAGCTAAGTTTGCTGCTTGGAATGTGGAAAAAGTGTTCACTTTGAGTTCAACATGCCTACTCTGTGCTAATTGATGGATCAATTTTCTCTCCACTCTTTTTACTTAGACGGCGATGTAAGTAGCTTGCAGACAGCTGCCTTCTCTCTGGGTCCCTACCTGGCCTTTCCTGCATGGGCATGTCTGAATTCCTATCTTTGGTGGGAATTCTGTCACCATAATTTCTTGGTAGGATAGTTTATTGAAGCTCCAAATGTCAGATACAAAAATTTCCTGTTTCTTTTGTATTATAGAAAGTTTCAAAACATGCAAACATAGAGAAAATAGTTCAGCTTCAACAGTGACCTTTTATAACCTGACCTCCACCCTGCTATCTTCTCTCTTCTTCTTTCACTTCTCTGTCTTCTGCTGTCTCTAGTCACCTGTCCTCTCCTTGCAGATCCTTAGGCACAGTCAGTAAGCTACCACTGCAGGTGTTTGCACCTATTTTTCCTTGACTCCAAGTGCCTACTGGATGGCTTCTTTTTGTGCTGTGGTGGGGACCAGGCACAATGACTACTAGTCACTACCTTGCCTTGTTTCCCTGCTGCCCAAGATGGCACCCTCAATGAGCTCACTTTCTCTTTCCATAATTTCCTTTGTTTCGATTCATAGGACCTGCCACTATGTTTCTTCTCAATCTTGTCTCTCTCTTTACAGTTATTTAATAATTTGTTATTTATTAACAGGATGCTGAGGGACTTATTTTTCTGATTCATCTTGGACTAAGGATCCAAAAGGATGATGCCAGCACAAGGTGATAAATAGCCCTTTATTCCAAATGGAAGTTCTCTGTTCCCTAAGTAGAACTTGCTGAGGAGGCAGCCACAAATTCTCCCCACCTTCCTCAATGGGATAAAGGAGTTGACATTGAGAAGGCTGAAAGGCTGGCATCAGGGAAAGATCCCAATGGAGGTTAGGATTAACTTTATACATTTAAAAAGAACAATTTTATATGCATATATTTATCACTGTCTACTCCCAATACTTTTCATCACTCCAAGCAGAATATCTAACTCCACACTTACCCCTCCCCCCAACTTCTGGTCCCTCTAATCTCTAATCTCTTGATGTGAAAAGAAACCTGTAAGGGTTTCCTGCAAGAGGTGGGGTGCCTCAGAAGAAAGAGACTAGAGGTGGCCTGAGGTTCAGGGAGGGGATGAGGCAGGTCACAAATGGCTGAGGCCCTGCCCATGTCAGAGCTGCCCAGATAGGGACTCAGGCACGTACAAGGACATTCATGGGGAGGAAGTCAGATGTAACACAGCCAGATCACAGCAATGCCAATTAAGTGAGACACCGCAGTTTGTTACCTCCATACCCTTCTTTCCTCTTGGTTTATAGGGGGCTGAACTGTGGGTGGGGAAGCTGCGGATGAAGCAGAAAACACAGGGAAGGAATGGGGGAGAAACCATCCCCTCCCCTTTCTCTCTGCAGGTCCGACTTGGGAAGTACCAGAGATGCTGCAATTTGAAGTATATTTTGAAATTTTAATTATTGAAATGAGATGGCTTTTGTGAATAAGATGATCAATGGACTTTGAGGAGCCAATTAAACTCATCCTAAGATTAATAATAAAATCATCCTATTGAACACATTCACAGCCACAGTATAGAGGCACATACAGCAGACCAAACTTGCCCTTTTCATCCAGGTGCTGGTCATTTTGTGGAGATGGTCTCTGTGGGCAACCAATAGCCAACAGCTGGTTTTCTGGAGTTTAGGGGTAGGAAGTGAAGTGATGATGGTGGCTTTATTGCACAATTTCTATGAAATGGGTGATATTCGTATTCTCAGTTTTCCAGAAAAGGAAATGGATTCCTAGGGCTGATTGCCTGGCTCAAGCCCATCATGGGACCAACATTGGACTTCCCTGCATTGCTGGGTGAGAAAAGGGAGACAAGTGGAGGCTGGGGAAGGGGCAGCTTTCCATATGTCACAGAACATGAATTATGACCCACAGCCCAGTGCAGCAGAAAGCACCAAATGGAGCTTCAGAAAACTTGACTTCCAAGGAGCCTCAGTTGGATCAGCAGTTAGTAACTTGACCTCTTTTACTCTCAGTTTCGTATTCTGTAACAGAAGGGGTAGGACAAGGTGCCCCAGCACTGTCCTTGTATGAATGAAAAATGAAAGAAAAGTACCTGCACGGCCTTTCCATTGATGTCTGTCCCCCATGGACCCCGCTGTGAAGATGGCATTGGGCACAGTAATGGTGCTGGTTTCGGATAGGTGGATGTATGACTGGGGAATGTTCAGCTCTCGACTAGCCACCTGCCCGATGCAAAAGAAAAACATTAGATAATTTCAACTTTAAGCTCCCTTCTAAGTGAAAACCCTTTATCTCCTTTTTAGAACTGAGTGTAAAGCCCTGCTGTCCTATACTGACAAACAGTTAAGCTGGGTTTTGAATGCCACTAGAAAAGTTACACTCCTTTTTGGAGACAGGTGACCGACCAAACCACCTTTTGGTGCTTTCTTTTACTGCCATGTGGCAGTACGGTCACTCTGGGACATCTGGTTTAGAGGACACATGTGGGCAGGCTCAAGGCCATGGTCTTACTGTTTCACCTTCATCTTCTCCTTATGGCTTACAGACAATTTTACCAATACAGTTCCCTCAAGGCTCATTTCCAGGCATAAGGTTTGGTTATAAAGAAGCAAGCTGTGTTCAAAGGAGGCCTTGTGGATTTCTGTGGTTTTGACAGTCCTATTAAATTGTGTACTTTCCTGAAACTATCTTTTTCTATTCCTCTTTGAGAGAGGGGCTTTGTTTCCCACACACATTTTGAATTCAAATGTTATGTCAAGTTCTTATTTCATATTAGAAAAAGAAGGGAAACTTTCTTACTGCACTAACCTCTCATTATTTCAATGTAACGGACACATTTCTTTGAATCAACAATTCGTAATGGTCAGTCACGTAGTCACATGAATGAAGTTCCTAAGCAGATGTGAAACTCTAAGAGCACAAGTTTTCATCCTACTGAACACTTTTTTTTTTTTTTTGTATATTGGGGTTTGAACTCAGGGCTTGCACTTGCTAGGCAGGTGCTCTACCATTTGGGGCCCCTTTTCCCCTGAGGTATGTATTTTCCCATAGGGTCTTGTTAACTTCTTGCCTGGGTCAGCCTCCTTGAACCATGATCCTCCTGTTTCTATCTCCCAAGTAGCTGGGATTATAGACATGAACTACCAAACACATTCATTTCTTGTTTTTTATTTAAATTTTTATTTTATTCATATGTGCATACAATGTTTGGGTCATTTCTCCCCCCTGCCCTCACCCACTCCCTTACCACCCACTCCGCCCCCTCCCTCTCTCCCCTACCCCCTCAATACCCAGCAGAAACTATTTTGCCCTTATTTCTAATTTTGTTGTAGAGATAGTATAAGCCATAATAGGAAGGAACAAGGGTTTTTGCTGGTTGAGATAAGGATAGCTATACAGGGAGCTGACTCACATTGATTTCCTGTGCGTGTGTGTTACCTTCTAGGTTAATTCTTTTTGATCTAACCTTTTCTCTAGTTCCTGGTCCCCTTTTCCTATTGGCCTCAGTTGCTTTTAAGGTATCTGCTTTAGTTTCTCTGCGTTAAGGCCAACAAATGCTAACTAAGTTTTTAGGTGTCTTACCTATCCTCACCCCTTCCTTGTGTGCTAAAGCTTCCTTATCATGTAATCAAAGTTCAATCCCCTTGTTGTGTTTGCTCTTGATCTAATGTTCACATATGAGGGAGAACATATGATTTTTGGTCTTTTGGGCCAGGCTAACCTCACTCAGAATGATGTTCTCCAATTCCATCCATTTACCAGCGAATGATAACATTTCGTTCTTCTTCATGGCTGCATAAAATTCCATTGTGTATAGATACCACATTTTCTTGATCCATTTGTCAGTAGTGGGGCATCTTGGCTGTTTCCATAACTTGGCTATTGTGAATAGTGCTGCAATAAACATGGGTGTGCAGGTGCCTCTGGAGTAACCTGAGTCACATTCTTTTGGGTATATCCCCAAGAGTGGTATTGCTGGATCAAATGGTAGATCAATGTTTAGCTTTTTAAGTAGCCTCCAAATTTTTTTCCAGAGTGGTTGTACTAGTTTACATTCCCACCAACAATGTAAGAGGGTTCTTTTTCCCTCATATCCTTGCCAACACCTGTTGTTAGTGGTGTTGCTAATGATGGCTATTCTAATGGGTGAGGTGTAATCTTAGTGTGGTTTTAATTTTCATTTCCTTTATTGCTAGAGATGGTGAGCATTTTTTCATGTGTTTTTTGGCCATTTGAATTTCTTCTTTTGAGAAAGTTCTGTTTAGTTCACTTGCCCATTTCTTTTTTGGTTCATTAATTTTGGGAGAATTTAGTTTTTTAAGTTCCCTATATATTCTGATTATCAGTCCTTTGTCTGATGTGTAGCTGGCAAATATTTTCTCCCACTGTGTGGGTGTTCTCTTCAGTTTAGAGACCATTTCTTTTGTTGAGCAGAAGCTTTTTAGTTTTATGAAGTCCCATTTATCTATGCTGTCTCTTAGTTGCTGTGCTGCTGGGGTTCCATTGAGAAAGTTCTTGCCTATACCTATTAATTCCAGAGTATTTCCTACTCTTTCCTGTGCCAGCTTTAGAGTTTGTGGTCTGATATTAAGATCCTTGATCCATTTTGAGTTAAAATTGGTATAGGGTGATATACATGGATCTAGTTTCAGTTTTTTGCAGACTGCTAACCAGTTTTCCCAGCAGTTTTTGTTGAAGAGGCTGCTATTTCTCCATCATATATTTTTAGCTCCTTTGTCAAAGACAAGTTGGTTATAGTTGTGTGGCTTCATATCTGGATCCTCTGTTCTGTTCCACTGGTCTTCATGTCTGTTTTTGTGCCAGTACCATGCTGTATTTATCGTTATTGCTTTGTAATATAGTTTGAAGTCAGGTATTGTGATACCTCCTGCATTGTTCTTTTGACTGAGTATTGCCTTGGCTTTTCGTGGCCTCTTGTCAAACACATTCATTTCTAATTGAGAATTTGAATGAACACATTATTGCATTGAACAGTCACCATAAAGCTTAAAAGCATTTTATCTTTGAAAAAATGGAATAACCTTTTTCAGAAAACCTTTGGAGTTGATTCTTTTGTATAACACCCATTTCCATTACCTCCTGCATTTTGGCGCCTGAAATCAGGATGCCTCTTAAAATTGACTTGTGCCTTTAGTGTGATGGCATTCCTTCCACTCAACAGGAAAAGCTTTGGCACATTGACTATGAAGTGCTAACCTCTTCTGCAGTGGAGAACAGGGACACATCTTACCTGAATCATTTTGGTGTGCAGGCCTTGTCCCATTTCACAGCCACCGTGAGCCAGCAAGACAGAACCGTCCAGATAGATGTGGACTAGAGCTGCTGCCTGGGAAAATAATTGTAAAGCCAGTTTGGAAATGGGTAGAGACAAATGTTGCTATGAGTTTAGCCAAGGTTGCTGCATGAACAATTTTGTTTCATTGAACCAATCTCATGTTTTTTATTCTGGAGAAGAAAGCTATTATTATTGACTACAGACAACCCCTTGCAAGAAACCCCAGACTCTACAACCATCAGGGTAGATACGCTCCCAGGTGATTTTGATGGTTGGCCAGGTTTGGGACTCACTGATTTAATCCAAATTCTTCACTTGCACAAAGGGTCTAGAAGACTAGAGAGGGAGAATTGAGAGCTGCCTAACATGAGGTAAAATCAGGACTAGAATCCATAATTCCTAACTTGAGCCCAGAGTTCTTGAAGACAATGCCACGCTCCCTTTCTAACTAACTGCTGTTGTCCCTCTCTGGGGCTGATTGTTTCAGCTGAAGAACTCATGAAATGTGTCTGTGGCTCCAGGGACCAGACTACAGGAGGGAGCTGGGCTACTTGGGGTGGTTCTGTAAATCGCTGGATCTTTCTTTTTCTTTTCCCCTCTCTCCTTCCCTCTTTTCTCTATCCCTCAACAATCCACATTGCACACATGCATGTGGTCCAGGATCCTTGGTCCACCCCCTAGGACCTGCTGTCATCACACAGCATTCACATATCCACTAACTCATCTCTTCCATTGTCTTGGGTATGATACAGTGGTTTCAGAACTTCATGTTTTCTCCTCCCTGACATTCTAACAAGAGTGATGGATGACCATGTACAAATGAGTATGGCCATGTGCCTTCAGATAGCATGCTATTATCAGTGATGATGATTGAATAAGCACCAGATAGGGATGCTTTAACTGATGGGACATGTTAGAGACAAGAGGTGGCACCATGAGTCATCACACCATCTTCAGACATTTAGGATAAAGACTTCAACATGATTTGCACAGCCGTATTCAGAACCATCATCATTTTGTGAGTAAGGACTTAGTTTGAGAAAAGCAATGTCACCCACCACATTAAATTAATATTATTGTTTTGAACACTACTGCATTAATAGTTCATTTTTACTTAAACTTGTGCTTTATAAATGCAGATAAGCTACAAGCATAAGAGAATTATTCTTTGTTTTGTGGTACACATAGTTAAATAACATCAAAATAAATAATTCAAGCAACCATTGGGAGTCTACAAGAATCTTCTCCTTAAAGGGAGTCTCTGTTATTCTGTCCTGAGAAATACTATCTGAGGAAAGTTGAACACCTGCTCTGGGTGGTACAGGACTCCTGGCTCCCCCTCACTCCTTTATACTTTGTTTTCCACCTTGTTAGACAACTCCTGCCTCAGAGAAGATAATTTTGCTAAGAGACACTAGGGCACTCGTCATACCATGAAAGGGGCCTTTTCTTTGATTTGCATGAGTTTGGTTATGGGGGCATTTTGGAGATTCATAGAATAGAAAAAAAAAAATAGAACCAGAAACTGAACCCCCATGAAAAACTAGTTATAGTGAAATTTAAAAAAGAGGCCAGGGCTGGAGGAGTGGCTCAAGTGATAGAGCACCTGGCTAGCAAGTATGAGATATTGAGTTCAACCCTGAGTGCCATAAATAAATAAATAAATAAATAAATAAATAAACTCCCTAGAAGTCACTGAGCCTTGGTATAGAAACTTCTACTTCCTGTGTGAATTGGGAGGTCTGTCCTTATTTTTTTAAAGCTTTGTCTTTAAATGACCCCACTGCTCTTACTAAGAAACCAGTACAGTGGGAAAAGGATCCCCAACCCCCCACCCTATCCAGTTCTCTCATAGACTTAAATTTTGGCTCCATGTCTCAACACCCATGTTTGGGGCCTGGCTACCTAAGACTGGGTCTTCTTCAGCAGGACTTTGTTGTTGATCACTTTCTGAGGTCCTGAATACCATATCCTACCAGGTCTGTCCTGATATCTGTGGTCTCCAACCCTTGCCTAAACCCACTCTATCTCCTGGTAAAGAGAACTGCCTCACTTTCTTCTTTGTCCCCAGAGGGGATAACCTCTGTTTGCACATGATTGCTTTTTTTTCCCAATGCTGGGGCTCAAACCTAGGGCCTTGTGCATGCTAGGCAAGTGCTCTACCACTGGGATATCCCCCCAGCCCATGATTGTCTTATTTAGAGAGCCAGCCATTCCAAAAAGAGTTGTTCTGAAGAGAACACCCACAGAGTGGGAGAAAATATTTGCTGACTACACATCAGACAAAGGATTGATAACCAGAATATATAGGGAACTTAAAAAACTAAATTCTCCCAAAACTAATGAACCAATAAAGAAATGGGCAAGTGAACTAAACAGAACTTTCTCAAAAGAAGAAATTCAAATGGCCAGAAGACACATGAAAAAATGCTCACTATCTCTAGCAATAAAGGAAATGCAAATTAAAACCACGCTAAGATTCCACCTCACCCCTGTTAGAATAGCCATCATCAGCAACACCACCAACAACAGGTGTTGGCGAGGATGCGGGGAAAAAGGAACCCTCTTACACTGTTGGTGGGTATGTAGACTAGTACAACCACTCTGGGAAAAAATTTGGAGGCTACTTAAAAAGCTAAACATCGATTTACCATTTGATCCAGTAATACCACTCTTGGGAATATACCCAAAAGACTGTGACACAGGTTACTCCAGAGGCACCTGCACACCCATGTTTATTGCGGCACTATTCACAATAGCCAAGTTATGGAAATAGCCAAGATGCCCCACCACTGACGAATGGACTAAGAAAATGTGGTATTTATACACAATGAAATTCTATGCAGCCATGAAGAAGAATGAAATGTTATCATTCGCTGGTAAATGGATGGAATTGGAGAACATCATTCTGAGTGAGGTTAGCCTGGCCCAAAGGACCAAAAATCGTATGTTCTCCCTCATATGTGGACATTAGATCAAGGGCAAACACAACAAGGGGATTGGACTATGAGCACATAATAAAAGCGAGAGCACACAAGGAAGGGGTGAGGATAGGTAAGACACCTAAAAAACTAGCTAGCATTTGTTGCCCTTAACGCAGAGAAACTAAAGCAGATACCTTAAAAGCAACTGAGGCCAATAGGAAAAGGAGGCCAGGAACTAGAGAAAAGGTTAGATCAAAAAGAATTAACCTAGAAGGTAACACCCACGCACAGGAAATTAATGTGAGTCAATGTCCTGTATAGCTATCCTTATCTCAACCAGCAAAAACCCTTGTTCCTTCCTATTATTGCTTATACTCTCTCTACAACAAAATTAGAGATAAGGGCAAAATAGTTTCTGCTGGGTATTGAGGGGGGGGAGAGGGAGGAGGCGGAGTGGGAGGTAAGGGAGAGGGTGGGGCAGGGGGGAGAAATGAACCAAGCCTTGTATGCACATATGAATAATAAAAGAAAAAGGAAAAAAAAAAAAAGAGTTGTTGAAGACGAGACATGTCTGCCCACCTCACCTGATTATAGAAGGCCACAGGGATCCCAATGGTAAACTTCATGGGGACCACAGCAAGCCCCCTCTTCTTCCAGTAATTCTTTTTGTTAAATTCTGCTGCGGCATGCTTCCTAGCATAAAACGAAGATTTCTCCAGACATTCTTTCCAGCATCTTCTCAAGGGCTCTGGATTAAATGTCTGTTTATAGGCTGTTTTGCTAGTTCTCTTATACATGTTTATTTCTTTAACCTGAAAGGCCAGAAATAAAATGGATTTTAAGGATGAATGCTTATTCCATATGTGAAGTATGCATTTTTGTTATATATCAATATAGAGAAAATCTTTCTAAAGAAAGAAATAGCCATTTGTATGGCTATAAATATGAATGCGCAAGTCCATATGCATAAAAATGAAATAATAACAATAACAGCAATAGAAACTACTATTGAACACTTAGCATGCTCCAGGGTCTAGATTAAGTGTGTATGTGGCTCAAGTGGTAGAGTACCTGCCTAGCAAGCAGGTTGAGGCCCTGAGTTCAAACCCCAGTGCTGAAAAAAAAAAGTATGTTTATCTCAACTAACTTCATAATAACTCTGAGAAATAACAGATGTTATTATTAGTCCTGCCACAAGCTTGATAATAGTAAAATAAAATTCTCCTGATTCAAAATATTTTTATTCCTATCCAACCTTGCCTTATTCCTAATTATTCTCAAATTAGCTCTTCAAAGTCTTACACTGTAACAAAATGTTTGTGTCAATGGCTGTCATCAGTCCACCCTTTCTCTGCCCTCAGGTAGTTTCACACTGGCTCTGGGACTTGCTTTGGCCAATAGGTCCGTGCACAGTAACGCACACAGAGACTTGGAAAGTCTTGCCATTAGGGCGTGCCACATTCTTGCTGTTCTTGGGAACTCTGTGACCATCATAACAATGAATCTGGCTAGCCTACTGGAGGATGAAAGATTCTGTGGAACAGACTTCTTCCCAGTCTTCCCAGCTGAGGTATCCCCAGACAAACCAGCCAGATAACTGCCAGTCATGTCAGGGAAGCCATCTTAAACCATAAAGCTCTAGTTGAGCCAGCCCAGACCAGAAGGGCTACTTAGTTGATCTACAGAATCATAAAAAAATACTACTATTGTGGTTGATTTTGCTACAGCAGTGAAGCTAATGAATAATGACAATGTACTTAATTTCTTTGAAACTACATAAAGACAGACACAGTAGTATGTGTAGGAGTTCAAGATATATTTAAATCAGTGATGCCAGCATTTTACTGGGGAGGGTTCTGACTATTTACCTCTTCAGGGAGTAGGTCACATCGAGACGCGACAGCAGCTATGTAAGCTTCAACCACCACTGTTCCCTGAGGGAAGCCAAATCCTCGAAAGGCTGTGTTGGATGGCAAATTTGTTTTGCAAGGCCTACCCCGGCACCGGAAATTAGGAATAGAATATGCGTTTTCAGATTTCAGCACAATGAACTGCATCACCTGAATTAAAGCAAAACAAAAAAAAATCTTCATATCTGTCTGACACTCAAAACCACTTATCTGACTTCTATTTTTAACTTAAGCCCTTCACAGAATTTATCTAATCTGTAAGACAAATATTCACGCAAATAAAGTATGACACATACAGTTCCACTGGTAAGCTATGGAAAAGGCATATTTCTTATTTACCAAATCCGACTCATCAGGAGTGCATCCTCCATTGATGTAATATTCAACATCGACAGCTTTGATCTCACCATTGTTCATGAACCCGACCTGCAAAGAGACGGCAAGTAAGACAATTTTCTCAATGGCCCTTCTTGGCCACCACACTGCAGTACACAAACACATCTGGTCGTAGTTGTCAACCCATACTTAGCATACACATATGATTGGCTATGACAGTCACTAGATGACACACCAAGATGGTGCTTAAGTTGGACCAATCCCAACAGAAGGCTCTGCCTAGTTGTAGGCAAGCATCCAAATACCTCTTTCAAGAGATTTCAAATTCAGTAATTGTCTTTCCTACTGACTGATTGGCAGAGGAGGACAATGTCTTAATCCATTTGGGGAACTTCTTGCTCTCACTCACTTTGTATTTTCCCAGGAGTGGGTGGCGGCCAGCAGTTATCAGCATGTCATCACCTCGCTCTAGGATAAACCGGATTGGATGGCCAGTCCTGTGGGAAGTGACTGTTAATACACTATATGTTTCCTAAAATTGTAGAGACATGATGCTTGGAGAAGGGGGCTTGAGGTAATCTAGTTTAGTGGTTTTCCATGGGGGTGGTAAAATGTCTTAAACATTTTGGAAGCTGTAGTGGCGTTAAAAATTATTCTGGTTTAGTCACACTGAATATTTACATATTGCAATGATCTATTATTTGGTTATGCATGGTTTCTTTTTGTTTTTTGTATGTCACATTAAGGAGTTTCATGATCATTTTGCAATTATGTGTATAAATAGATTTTGTTATTATGAATTTCACTTTGAGATAGTAAAGGAGGTTTGAGTTGCCGTAAGGATGATGTTGCAGCTGAGCTCAGCCTCCCTTGCACTCAGACTCCCCTTTCATAAAATGTCCATCAAAGACTTTGGATTCTGATGGAATGTTTCTACCCCCTGCAAACCTGCTACTTACAGAGGCTGATGAGCTAAGATGTTCACGGTTTTTCTTTATGTCGTGGTAGCCTGGGATAAGTTAAGGTTATCCCCAGTATCTCACACTCCAGCATCTACAAGTCCACCTGGATGAGGTGGAGGCTAAGCGAATATTGCCAGGCAGCAGCAGAGCCCCGGGCTTATACCATGTCAAGACATGTCTCTCATAAGACTGACATTCTGACCTTCCTTCCACTCAGCCAGCTTCAGCTGAGTTGAATGCTGAGATGAAAGATGGAGTGCAAGGTTGGAAGGACTCATGGGATCCACACTGTTCAGACTGCTGCCATTACGACTGTCACTATAACTCTTACTTGTTGGCAGCCACAGCACTGACAGCTCCCAGCAGAGAGGGTTTGGTCACTTTCCCCCCAAATGCTCCTCCAGCCCTTTTCATGTGGCAGGCGATTCTACTTCTTGGGACATTAAGTGCTGCAGCCACAAATTCCTGCAAGAGGTAAGTCCCCAAAGCCATTCAGGTGTAATTTAATAGTTAAATTTCCCCTCAGCCCAGTAAAAAAAAAAAAAAAAAAGCAGTAATCCAATAGTCATAATCTAATTTTAGAACATTTTCAACATCCCCAAAGAAACCTTGTACCTATGAAGCAGTCACTACTTGTCTCCTGCCACCTCCCCGCACTAAGGCAACCCTGAATCTATTTTGCCCATTCTAGGCATTCCATGTAAATTGAATTATACCATATGTGGTCTTTTGCGACTGGCTTCTTTCACTTAGCATGTTTTCAAGGGTCATTCATGTTATAGCATGTATGAATTTTTTATGGCTAAATAATATCCCACTGTATGGACATATCAGATTTTGTTTGTCTCACCAGTTGATGGGCGTGGGGTTGTTTCCACTTTTTGGGCCTTATGCGTGATGCTGTTGTGAACTTTTGTGTACAAGTCTTTGTGTGGGCATGTTTTCACTTCACTTGGGTGGATACTTAGTTGTGGAATCACTGGGTTATATGGTCACTTTATTTTTAATAACCTGAGAAACTACCAAACTGTTTTCCAAAGTGGCTGCACCATTTTTCATGTCCACCAGCAGTTTATTTAGGAAGGTTCTAATTTCTCTGCCTCGTTGCCAATACTTGTTACTGTGTGTCTTTTAATTCTAGCCATTCTAGTGGGTATGAAGTGGTACCTCACTGTGGTTTGATTTGCATTTTCTGTGACTGGTGGCATAGCATCTTATCAGGTGCTTATTATCCATTTATATTTCTTCTTTGAAGAAGTGTCTCAAATCTTTTAATTTGATGCTGTCATAGGTTCTAGGGTGTGGCAGGCTGTGGGTACCCAGTGACCTAGCTACCCTTGGGAAAAGCTGGCTGTTGTGGAACTGACTGATTGCAATCTAGGAACTGTTGGTGGCAGGTGGCAATGGTGACCTTGGTACATATGTGTTATCCTTTGAAGCCCATAGCTACAGACCCTCTGCCAAAAGGAACCCCAGAGGAGATCTTCATAACTTCTTCAATTCACAGAAAAGAATATTGATGTCCAGCAATTTTAAAGATATCACATAGCAGCTTAAGGGTACAGCTCCTATCTCCTCACTTCTCCTCTTACTACTTCCAAACTTGCAACTATGGAGGCCACAGTCCCATCTCTGCTCAGAATCTGTGACCTCAGCCTTCCATTTTCCTCTTAAATGGCAGCCAGTAGCTTCCTCCTTCCATGGAGTCATCCTTTCAGGACCTCAAGGTGTCAGCTTGCCTGTACTTTACCAGGAAGCTCCCAGTTTCTCCCCTCAGTAGTGCTTGTTATGAGTGTAATCTTGAAAATATCCCTTTGTGCCTGGCTCTATCCTAGGGTCAATGACTGCATATTTTGAAAAAGATGACTATCAGAGGGTTTTTTTTCACTTTCCTAGGTTCAGCAATTCCTTATGTCTCAACCACTAGCACAGGGACTGGAATTCACATGCTACTTACTGAGCCAGGCTGAAGATGTCTTGGAAATATGATTGCTTTGCACATGCACCACCAATATGTGAGGACATCATAGAGAACAGCAACACAAGTGAGCCTTAGGTTTTACATTATCAGTCGTTGTAAAGATGAGCCTTGTCCTATGCCTTGAAAGCTAGCAAAATTTCTAGATCACTTAGAAAGATTTTTGTGTCACTTTATTCATACTGGACTTTAGCTGGTGTCAAGTATGCAGGGTGTTCAAGTTATAAGAATAGGAGGAATTACATCACACATTCACCTGGAGTCTCATTTCTAAAAATATCCCGTTACCTGCACATGGGTTGGAAACTGTGTTCCAAGGTGTAACACCATTTCTTTATCTTCTGTTTTGGGGATAGCTAGGATGGTCTGCGTTTCCATGTAAAAATGTTCCTGCCCTTCCACATGGACCTCACCTGGAAAGCATAATCAAATGGCAATGTCTAGTCACAGGTCCCAGTGTGGGAGCGCTGGTGGCGTTTCGTTATGGAGAGTGAGTTGTTGTGGCTTATGGAGAACTGGACTTTACATCACTTTATAACACTTTCCCCAATCCTGTCTGCTTTTTCTAATCTAAATGTAATCTAAATCCTGGTTAGTTCACTGTGCCACTCCTGGCCTCAGTTTCCTTATCTGTGTAGTGAGATGGTTAGAGTTAGACTTGTGAAGTGCTGTACTGAAGAGCACAGATTTATTTGGCGACACATCCAGGCTTGGCTAAGTTGTGAAACCCAGAGTCCTCAGCTGTAAAATGGGGGGAGGAGTCCTATCTACCTCAATTAGGTGATGTTGATGATTAGTGAGACATAGAGGATATAAGTGACTTGCTAATGGACATAAAGGTATAAAATGGCTGAGGTGAGGTTGTTCTCTATCCTAAAACCAGCCTGCTCTTCTGGGCTTGTTTGAGATTTTTGGCTCATACAGTACATTCTTATCATTTTGTAGGATGCATGAAGAAAGTCATTTAGACCTAGTTTAAACATTGGAAAACAGTTATTTTTAGTTTATAATTACCTGAAAAACCCTTGTGCTATTAAGATAAGTGAATTGCTTTGCTATGAGTCAAAGGATTATTTAAAATTATTTCTTGGGACAATAGAATGTTACTCTTACAAAAAGTTTTCCCCAAAGTCTATTCACAGAATGTACATATTGATTTTAATCTGAGCTCAATTTTACTTTAAATTTTTTTAACAGGAGGAAATTTTATTTTATATGCATATAGGGAGGGGTGCTCACAGAAATGAAACAGAAAAACCCCAAAGAGGGGGTCAGACCTGAAAGTTTATATGCCATTTTAATAAAGGGCAATACATTTTTTGGAGATGATAAAATAAATGAAAAAAAAATTTTTTTTTTCAAACTCAGAGCTTCGCACTTACAAAGCAGGCACCCTACGACTTTAGTCACACCTCCAGTTCATTTTGCTCTGGTTATTTTGGAAATGGAGGCCTTACAAAGTATTTGTGTAGGCTGGCCTTGTACTCCATCCACCTGATCTTAATAGGCAGCAGTTAGACATAAGGGTGCCCACAAGAGGAAGAAAGGGGAAAAAAAAAATCATTGTAATTCAACTTTCCAACTTCACTAATCTCTATTAAGATCAGGTAGCCAGAGCTCAGAGGTTATCGCTGGATGTTTTAAATCTAGCCACTGCCGTAAAGCTTAATTACTCTTTAGCCAAGAGTAATTCCCGTCCTAAACTTCAGCTACGTCTGGTGCTGGGAGTTTTCACAAGTAAATTTAACAAAACAAAGACCCAGACCTAAGAGCTAGATAGAGCAAAGGTTAGGAATTTCAAACAGAAATTCTCTATTAAAGCAGAAACTAGCAGATTACACAATATTTCTTATTTAACAAGACAATGATCTAAACCCAGGAAATCATCCCAGGGACCAAAAGGACCCAAACCTAAGAGTTTCTCAATAAATATTCCAACTTTAGAACCTGACTCATCATTATCTCCCTTGAGTCGACCCACTTTCAGTCTGTTGAAAGTATATTCCTTTCCTAATAAACTTTACTATTACTTTTACTATAATCTTTGAGTGTTGCTCGAATTCTTCTGCCACTCACAGGAATGGAGGTATTTATCAGTACCATTTTTCTGGTAACATACTCAGCCTCCCAAGTGTGAGTCACCAGGGCCCAGTTTACTGTGCATTTTAAATTGTTGCTTAATAATCACATTAGGATAGAGAATCATCGCCTTAGAGTTTTGGTTTTTCTCAAGCCAAATGACTGAACTTAGAGCCTTCAATTTCAGGAACTTTCCTTGTCTGGCTCAAGACTACTGTACTGACCTTGGATGATCTGATCCACATGTTTAAAAGCGTATTCCACATTTCCTTGCTCAATTTTTCTCTCAACAGCAAGAAAAGAATTGTGCTCCAGGGCTTGCTGCAGTGGAAAAACAAGCAAATCAAAACAAAATAATGTTTTTATTTTGCATTCTAATAAGTGGTTTGTCCGCCATTGGAATTCCATGCCTCTACTCTATCAGATCTTCATTCACTACGACAATTGGAGCTGAAATAGTGTGAAGAGTCAGCAGAAATCAGATGCAAGTGCATTCCAGGCATTGGTGACTCATGAATTTTGTTCCACACTCTACAGAAGAGCTGAAGGGGATATGAGGGACCCCCTCCCACCTCTAGACTTCTGAGTGGCTACTGAGGCAGTTTGGTATAGCGGTGTAACTCTTGGGTGAGGGGGGTAAGTGATAAAAAGAAGTTAAGAATGAGGAGGCTGGTGGGGCCTGGGACGCTCAGGAATGGCCTAGAATTGGTTAGCGGAATTGGATCCCGAATCATTTTAAGTCAAGGCACATCACAAAATAATAGCTTAAGGTTGAACTCAAGTGAGGGGCCAAAATGAGGACAAGGCTGAACTGCTGGAGTGCAGGTTTTGTAGTGGGAAATTAGTTTGGAAGGTGGATTGAGGCTGGTCTATGAGAGATCTCGATTCTAAACTAAGGATTTGGGACTTTATCTAAGAGGACACTGCTGAATAGGAAAGGTGGTCTGATGAACTTTGGAGCTTGTAAAAGTTAAGGTGCTGGGTAGATGGGCTGAATGGAAGACACAAGGGCCTCTTTAAAGTGCTTATTCTGACAATAAGATATTGAGGTCTGGAGGGTGGAGAAAAAGTGAGGCTAAAAACAAAGGAGCAGACTAAAGGAGCATTTAAAGGATAATTGGGAAAGACTTGAATTTGGCAATTGCCAGGAAGGACAGGGGAGAATCAAGAGGTTGTTCAAGGCTGTATCCTACTTATGCATCCATCTATCCATCAACCCCTCCATCCCTCCATCATCCAACACATGCTTATTGAGTACTCGATATGGTTTAGCACTTTGGTGGGCACTGGCAATATAAAACAAACCACAACATATCCTTGCTCTCGTTAATAACAGCAAAACCAAAACTGGCAGGGAACATTTATTGAATGTATTCTTGGTCCCAGGTGTTATTCTGAGCTTTTACTTGAATTCTCTCATTTAAACCTCACAGTAACCACTGGGTATAGGTACTTTAAAGTTCCTGCTTTACAGATGAGGAAATTGAGGTATGAGGAGTTTAAGTAATTTGATAAAGCCTTCATTGCTATTATGAGGCTATTAAATTGACAGAATGACATTATGACTCCAACTAGTGTATCCCCAGAGCAGTGAGTGGGTAGGGAGACAGAGGACCCAATAGTTATAATATAGTAAGCAATGCACCTTTTATGAGTTCTGCAGTGATTTACACTTTCCCGCTCACTAGTTTTGTATGTGAGACTGTAGGGGCATCGCACTGGTGGTTGCTTATCTGTCTTTCTTAGGCCAGGCCTTGGACAACAGGGTAAATGGACATGTGATGGGTCATTTCTATAGGTCCCTACAGAAGCACTGGTGGGAAGAAGAGGTTTAGGCAGGAGAGGTTTCAATAGTCTGCCATGAGTGCACGTGTACTGGAGGCTTTATGCTAAAACTACAGTTGACACGGAACAAAGTAGAGATGGAGCCCAATTTATACAATCTTATGACTTCCTGGTTGATTTCTGTCCAGAGCACATCACCTTGATCATTCTAGAAGATGCCAAGTGGCCTGACTACCTCTATTGTGATGATCCTTGGCTCTATGTCTTCATAAGCAATCTTCACTTTTTTAGCTGCCTCTTTCGCGTGTGCATAGGTATCAGCAGCCACGGTGCAGATGATCTGACCCACGCAAATTACCTGCAGAAAAGCACTTGTGCTTAATTACCTAAAACACTGAATCATTTACCTACTTACGTTTACCTACTTTTTTTTTTTAATGGTTAAAAGGAAGACTATTTTCTACTGATGAAAATAAAGTAAAAACAGTAAATTGAGCCAAGCACAGGTGGCTGTCCCCTGTAATCCTAGCTAGTAAGGTGGCAGAGATCAGAAGGATCAGTTCAAAACCAGCCAGAGCAAATAGTTCATGAGACCCTATCTTGAAAAAACCCGTCACAAAAAAGGGCTGGTGGAGTGGCTCAAGGTGTAGGCCCTGAGTTGAAGCTCCAGTACCACAAAAACAAACAAAAGCGAAAACAAAAACAACCCCCTCCAGAAAAAACCAAAAATAAACACAAAGAAAAAGAAAGAAAGAAAGAAAGAAAGAAAGAAAGAAAGAAAGAAAGAAAGAAAGAAAGAAAGAAAGAAAGAAAGAAAAACCCCCAGTAACTTGAGTGAGAATTAGGGGGCACAAAAATTGGATGTTGAATTTAATTTCTGACTTCAATGACCTGCCTTCTGTTGTCTCCACCCAATTCCTCATCATTCCCACAGCACACACAGTGATCCAGTCAACCCGAAATTCTGCTTCTCCTCTCCTCTCCTCTTCCCCCCCGCCCCTTCCTTTTCTTGCTTTGTCTCCTTTCTTGTCTTCTTTCTTCCTTTTCCTTCCTTCCTTTCTCTTTTTCTGGCAGTACTAGGGTTCACGCCCCCATCCCTTTTTTGCTTTAGTTATTTTTCAAATAGGGTCTCATGTTTTTTGTCTATGGCCAGCTGGGACCATGCCTTCCATAGCTTGGACTACAGATACACACTGCCATACCAAGCTTGTTAATTGAGGTGGGGTCTTGGTAACATTTTTGCCTAGGCTAGCCTCCAACTACCATCTTTCCGATCTCTACCTCCCAAGTAGCTGGGATTACAATGTGTACCACCATGCCTGGCCTCTGCTTTCTTTCAGTGACTTATGCTTTGTATGGCTTCCGTGACTTTCTCAACTATTTAGAAGCCTTTCTTTAGAGGACTTAGGGCTTTCTATCAGAATTTCTAGGGCAGCTGTTATTTAAGAGGAAATGAAAATTCACTTCCTTCACATTATGATAGAGTCATTTGGCTTCCAATAAGTCTTTGTGATGCAAACATGAGTCTGTAGATGTTATAGTCATAACCAATCATCATTTTTGACATTTCCAGGAAAATAAGCCATATGCAAATCACACACCTCATGCCGTGCATATAAAATCTCTCCATTATGGTTATTATCTCCCGGAACATCCTCTGCTGTGATCACATCAACCACACCTGGAATTTCCAGAGCTTCTGAAGTATCAATTGATCTAGAAGGGAATATAGGAAGATGGGGATTAAGGTTTCAGGGATAAGTTCCCTGTATAGTGTAAATGATTCCTCAAATAAGGAAAAACTATAGTGGGTGTCAGAACCAAATCATTGAGCAGTAGTCTTGTGTTGAAAAATATTAGTATTTAACAGATGTTTGAACTCTTGGCCATAGATTCCATCATAACTATGCTTTAAAAATAACCAGTTCTCATCCAGAAGAGGAGATGACTTACATATGTAATAAGATCTCCATTTGAATATAAACCTGAATGCATTTCCATGACATAGGAACATTATTTATTTCCTTACATGATCTTTGCATGAGCTCTGGTGCTGGTGACCACAGCAAGGAAGAGCTCTTGGTCAATGGGAGGGATGTCATCAGCAAATATAGCTTCCCCTGTGGTGTGTTTAATGGCTGACTGGTGCATAACTGGGTGTCCAACTGGGTCTTGTGGAGGTTGGTAGGGATCCACACACTGTTAATAAACAAAGCAAGCTTAAAAAATTATTTATAGAATACTAGTGTCTGTAATCAAATCCACATAGATAGGACCTTACATATTTAATATGGTATGTTACCCCTGTGCAAATGGAAAAAATTAAATTTAGTGTTTCTAGATCAATGTGACTATTGATCTCTATATAGTGCCAAGTTAACCTGGTAAAGTAGGATACTTTTTTCCAAAGTTGACAGCACAGCTAAAATTTCAAGTTATATAAAAAATTCAAAACATATAAAAATTCAAATTATATATGTATATATATTTATCCTTATATAAAAAACCCAATAATAGCAGTATGCTATGCATCAATAGCAGAAACTGCTTTTCCATGTTCTGCAGTCATCTGAACAAATTTATAGATACCAGCACACTCCATTAAAAAAAGTAATAAACAAACCCCCAGAGACAGCTAGAGAGTTGCTGTTGTGGTACCTGGTACTATTTTTTTTAAATTGGCTGTCTCAACCATCATCTGGAAAGAAAATATTCTAGATAACATAATTAAAAACAGCACTGATTAAGTGTAGTCATTTCTATGCATCATAAAGCAGGTATAAGATATTTTGCATTCACAGAGGTATGTACAGTCTTACATCTATAATGCTAGAGGATACAATTAAAAAGGCATTATATAAGACTCAAAGAATGCTATTTTATACTAGAAGTTCTCATGCTCTGAAAACTGTGTCTGATATATCTGGCTAACTCACAAGTCAAGAATAATTATAGGCAAATTGGATACCTATCTGTGAATCAAGGTTAATAAATATCCCTTGATAACTATGGTAAGCAATATAGTCTGGTTATAACCCCCCCTTCCTCTCTCCTTTCCCCCTTCCTCTCTCCCAAAGAAGACATCAAGAATTCTATTACAGTCTCACAGAGGAATCAGCACACACACACACACACACACACACACACACAAACAAATACACATGAAAATAATATGCTCTACTTTACATAACATTGAAGAATGATTTACATCATGAAAATACACAAGCTCCTGGGAGGTTCAGGGTGGTTATAATAAAGCAAAGAAGGCTTTCTAGAGGCATTAATATTGAGTCAGGTTTTTAAAGGAAAAACACATTGGCCAAAAAAAAAGGAATTAGAAATAGATAAAAAAGGAATCTGAAATAGATTCAGAATCTAATTCTTGTGTAGCCTTGAGCAAAAGCAAGGTAGCTAAACCAAGCAAATACTGTGTGAGTGACAATAGATAGCATTAGCTGGCTTTTATAGACTCTGTTTTTGCTGGTAATAAATAAATAGCTATTGAAAGGAAGGAGATGTATGTATGATGCATACATCTGAGTGCATAGACAGATAAAAAGCCCTAACCACCAACCTGGAACATTTGAATTCCTTGGGGTGTTTCTATGGGGAAGTCTTCTAGAGCACTCATGAATGTTTCTGGGATATCAGGAAACTTGTGGGGGTCCTGAAAAGAAGATGATTTCATAGTTAATTTTGCAATCTGAGCTACAAACTTGGGAAAACATGAAGATATAAGAGTTATCTAAGCTATTTTCTAAGATCTTACTTAGATTGTAGTTCTGCTGCGAGAAAGCCCTGAGTTTCCAGATCACTAAACCACTAGCAGTTATTTGAAGAATAATATTTATGCACACATAAAGGTAAATGTCTTTTTCAAGAAGTGAAGACTTCTCTTCTTGACAGGTCTCTTTTTGGATGAGTGGAAATATGTATGCTTGTAATGGAGGCTGTGCTTTCAAACCCAGGCCAATCCTCTGGTCACATACTTCAAAGAAGCATTCAAGGAGAGTGAGGGAAAATTAATTTGCAAGGATGTTTGATTGCAGATTACTTGCAATAGTGAAGAAAGCAGGATTAAACTAAATATCTAACAATGGAGAATGGCTAAACCAATTATTGTATATCAGACATAAAAATCTGCAATCATAGAAAATGATTTTGTAGATATATATTTATGGACACTGAAAAATATAGTTAAGTAGGGAATATAGTTAAGTGAGAAGTGTGGTTTATAAAAATTTGTGCACAGTCTGATTCCAATTGTGTAAAAATGTGAAAATATACTTATATAGAATATAAGACATATAAAAGTATATATTCCAAGATGTTGATAGTTGTTATAATAGTATTATTGGATTACAGTTGATTTTAAATTTTTTGTTTCTCTGTATTTTTAATTATTCTGTAATGACAGAATGTGTAATATAATAGAATATGTAATATATAAGCAAATATGCAAGAATGCATAATAGATACTAAATAAAAACATTTATTACATATAGATATGTCTATTATATATTTGTACATTGAATATGTTATATAATGCATAATAGAATGACTAATAATATATACTAGAATATAATAATAATGATACTAATAAATGTTAACAAAATAATAGGAAGGACTAGCTGAACTAACAGAGCAAACCTCTCAGTTATTAAAGAAATCTAGGTGTACTTATTTGCTATATTTGAGCCAGTTTGTAGAGTAGGCTTTGTAGACTAGGGTTTGTAGAGTAGGCTTTGTAGACTAGGGTTTGTAGACTAGGGTTTGTAGAGTAGGGTTTGTAGAGTAGGGTTTGTAGACTAGGGTTTGTAGACTAGGGTTTGTAGACTAGGGTTTGTAGATGACTAGGGTTTGTAGATTAGGGTTTGTAGACTAGGGTTTATAGAGTAGGGTTTATAGAGTAGGGTTTATAGAGTAGGGTTTGTAGACTAGGGTTTGTAGACTAGGGTTTGTAGACTAGGGTTTGTAGACTAGGGTTTGTAGATGACTAGGGTTTGTAGAGTAGGGTTTGTAGAGTAGGGTTTGTAGACTAGGGTTTGTAGATGACTAGGGTTTGTAGACTAGGGTTTGTAGACTAGGGTTTGTAGACTAGGGTTTGTAGACTAGGGTTTGTAGATGACTAGGGTTTGTAGAGTAGGGTTACCAAACAGATACTCCTTGGCATGCTCTATCTTCTGCGAAGCACTGCTTAGAGGTTATATTCACCTGGGGCTAGGTAAGAAAGATATAGATAACAGGAAACTGGAAACAATTTAAATGTCTAAAAGTAAGGAATGTATTAAATAATGGCACATCTATCCACAAACATGCCATGTAACTATCACGTTGCGATGTTAAAAATATTTAATGACAATGAAAGACATTTATGCTACTAAGTGAAAGAACGAAGCCATATGAAGCAGCTATAAGTGTACACACACACATGCATACACATACATACACATCTATGCAGAAGGGTTTAGAAGAATGGACACTAAGTTACCAACATTGGTTGAACACGGGTGATGGGATTCCAAGTGACTCTTCCCACCTCCTTTTCGACTACATTCACATTTTCTAAATATTAAAGTACTGTTTTAATAACAAATTTTTCTTTCAAAAAGGAAAAGATATGATTTATTTACTGATGTTTTTTGCTATTTATTTCATTTTTAGTCGGAAGATGCTTTAAGCACTTGAGCCATGTCTTCAGCCCTGGCTTGTCACTATTGTAGGTCAACTTCCTGTTGCCTATTAGCATCTGCCCCACAGATTACAGGCATAAGGAATAACAAAGCTGTCCTCTTTGAGAACCCAGAGTGAAGGAAGAGGGAGGGAAGGAGAAAGCCACTGGAGGCAGGAAGCAGGGCAGGTAGGCCCCATCCCAGGTGCACAGAGTGCATCTTCCAAGCCAGGCTTGGCAAGTGCTTCGTATGCAGACTCACATTTGGGAAGTCAAGGCACCCAGACACCCAGAGGACTTTACCATTTTATTCAGTCCTCGCCGCACTTTGAGGTAGAATTTGAAGAGCAGGCTGACGAGGAGCGCCCGCCGGTACTCCACCATTCCGCCCTTGGCGTCCGGCTGGATGAGGATTTCATCCAGGACCCACCGGCATGCATCACTCAGCATGTGGTCATCCCATTGCCTGGTGGGAAGAATGCCAACATCTCACAGAGAGGCAGAGATGTGGTGTGGTCTGTTCCCTGTCTTCTACAAATGCTCACTCGCGTTTCTACTTTCTGCCGTGAACTGGAGGAGGAAGAGGCCCTTGCTGGTGCTGGGCTCTTAGACTTGCAGCCTCCAGAACCATAAACCCAAGTAAAACTCTTTGCTTTATAAATTACCCAGTCAGGTATTTTGTTGTAGTAGCAGAAAGTGTACTAAGACATATAGACAGATGGACAGACACTAAATAGATAGGCCAAGGAAAGATGGGTTGCAACTGTGGCTACCTTTGAAATCAAAACAAAACATCCTTAAAATAGTTCATTAGTTTTTCTTAGCATCTGATGTAGTGGTTCCCAAATATTCTTTGATGAGGCCTCCTTTATTGTTTTTAACTTCATGAGCTGGGAATATGGATTTACCTCCAATAGTATGGGTAAAAGAAGAAAAAAATCTACTAAAAAAATATAAAAGTTTTCTGAGATTTGGACCTTTGCCTGACTTGTTCACTGATGTATGGCTGATACACACACTACCATATAAAATATGATAAATGACCAAGTTATTGAGACAGTTGGAAAATATTTCACAAATGGAAGTTTCTACATCATTGATTGAAAAGCATGGGTTTATTTTAGTATCTGAGACAAAATTTGCCCAAAATTCCAATTATTGATAATGAACATAAATGGACAAGGAGAAATGACTGCAAAAGCACTAGTTGGAAGAATTTCTCAAAACCTGCTTTCCAGATATCAGGGTGATAAGAGGGACTGGAGCAAGGCTGGCTAACCTGTTTGACTATTTTATCTTCTTTATGTGCCTAAGGACATTTCAAATCTCTTTATTTTCAAGAGACAGTTACTTATATAACAGATTAATTACTTAAAGATAATATCTACTCAAACCATGAAATTTGTGTAATTATCTTATTACAAAAACCTGCAATGAAAAAAATCACTGTACCTTGAAGGCTTAGCTTTTAGATGGCTTGTATTGTCTTTAGGTACTTCTCCAGTGCTTGAATTATATATATCATATATATGTACATATATATGAATATGAATTATATATATATATACATCTATACCAGAAAAAATTCCCCAAGTACTATTTTTATTAACAAAACTTAAAAGATAGAAGGCCTGTTTCTTGTCCCAGATGTGCTATGACACACCTCCCAGTGAGCTGTCTGCAGGTTTGGCTTGCAGAGACAACGGTGAGGCCAACGCTTCCGTAGAACATTTGGATGTCCTTGATTGTGTTTGTGCCATCTGCAAACTTCACACTCATGCCAGCATTGACAATGGCAAAGGCATTTTCCTGACGCTGAGCCAGTCGGAGCCCCGATACAAAGTGCCACTGGAGATAGAAACACTCGGAATGTTTAGCACGGGTCTCTGGTGTCTGCCACACAGCAATGACTTTGATGGATATTTATAGTGAAAAGGATCCTGTGAATGACTTACTACATAGGCATTGTTAGTGACTATATTTTCTATGTGAGTGCTGTCATATGTCCTTCATAGGTGCTAATATTTAATCCTTAATTAACTCTACTCATTTCCAATTTACCAATGAGAAAACAGATGTTAGTAACTTGAGCAGGTCATATAGTAAGTGGCAGAGCTGGGATTCAAACCCAGGCAGGGTGCTCCAGAGTCTATGTATATACTCCAAGCTCTGCCTTTTAACTCTGAATCTGCCACCTGTTGCCTTGGGAAAGTGAGTTAAATTATTTGGGTTTGAATTTTCTTTAAAATGAGATTGGGTTGGATCAGATGATGCTTTAGGGGGTACTGGGATGAGGGGAAGGTCAGGAGGTGAGAAGCCTCTCAGACACAACTGCATCTTCACTTGTATCTGTTTTAGTTTTGTGTTCTATGTAAATTTTATTTGAAAGAAGAGTGCCTACTGAAAAACAAAAAACAGCTGAGAATCACTGAAACATGTGATTTCCAAAGTTCTTCCTAGGTCTATACCTGCCATTCTAGGCAGAATCTCATCATTAGTGTTTAACAATGGAGTCCTGAACATGGGCCTGTGGCCCCCATCTTCGTGGGGGTGAGGGAGATGCAGTCCTGGCACCTGGGCCCTGTCTAACATGAGTCATTTTTGACATAGAAAGCGCTGATGATAAAGAAGTGTTTGACAAACACGGATCACATTTGCCACACTGTTTGGTGGGGACTTAGCTCGCCATCATGCTGGCAGTGCTCATTACCCTCTCCTACCTGAATTCCTGCCTTGGCCTCCTAACTGATCCTTCTACCTTCACTCCTCCCACAGTCAATATATCCTCTTTTTCTACTGGATCAGTGTTCTTAAAATACCTCTTTCATTTACATTTTACCTTGCTTTAAGCCTTTGAAGGTGGCCATCTGCTAAAAGTTAAACTCCTTGTAGCAACTGGTACATTTGATGGTGGAATCTAGTCATTTTCCTGGCTGCTCCACCCTGCTCCCTGGCTCCATCCCCCCATAGTTCTCGTGTCTGGAATGGCCATCCCCATCTCTCCTCGGATTTAGAGGCTGTCATCTTCTATGCTGGACCCTGCCTTCTGTTGCTCCCCTTTACACAACTCCAGGGCAGGGTTCCCCTGTCACTGGCCCTCCTAGTTTATTAGAAACTTCCTATAGCTGATGTTGACTAAAGTGTACACAATCTTGGCTGAAATGCATATTTATCTGAAACCAAAAATTCCACTCACATGAAAGGTTCTTTTTTTTGTAGGACCAATGTACCCTAGAGAGACAGGGATAGGGACCAGGAAACTTTTAGGGGCTAACAGAAATATATTTTTAAAATTTATTTTAAAATCAAAATAACTAAGTAAATATAGCAATGCAGCTAGGACTATATTCATCTCTATACAAACACAATCATAGTAGATATTTTATTTTATTTTTTTTATAGAGGAAGGGAGCCATGAAGACAAAGTGCCTGAGTCTTACTGTGGTCCCGATAGGGGGGCAAATCAAATGGTCATCTGGGAATGCACCCCTCCCAGGGCAGTTGGCTTCCTTCTGGAAGCCTGTCTGACAGGGTGAATGTGGTTTCCTAGGGGCTGGCATGGTTAGGAGCCTCACCTGAGTAGAGTATGGAATATAAATGGACAAAACCACCTCTTCTGATCGCAGGCTGGCCTCAGGTGATCCCTCAAGGAAAGGGCCATTTAAAGGAATCTGCCGTTTTCCTTCTGTTGGAGGAAATTAGGATGAGCTTATCAAATTGATAGAATATGCAGAAAATGCTCTATGTATATGGTGGAAAGAGAGCCTATAGACTGGGAGCTAGAACAGAGGACTGTAGTTCCAAATGGGACAAGTTGCAGATGCTCTGGGGTCCTAGCCTGCAGAATGATAGGGTTGGACCAGATAAGCTGAAAAGTCTTCCCAGATTCTCATAATTCATTAGATGCCACTTATAAAATTTGGTTTCAAAGATTTTTAAAGTTATTTGGAAACAACCTACTATAATGTTTATATTTCACAAAAGGAAAACTGAGATCAGAGAGATTATGTGAGGAAGAATTAGTGGCAGAATGGGTCTCTTTATATATATATGATACATATATGATGATATATACACATATATGTGTAAAATTATATATATACATGTTTACATACACTTAAAAAGTTTATCATGTTCTTTTGAACCACATTAAAATTTTTTACTCAAAAACATATCAGTAGCATTACAAATAAGCTTGTTTTTGTTTCCTTAAGTTTAAATCATTTTCTCTACACAAAACTCAACCTGTCTTTGAATAAAGAGAGAAGTAATGAGCAATATTCCTCTGAAGAGTGATTTAGTTTAAAATGAAGTCCTATAAGAAAAATTGCCACCTATGAAACTGTGGGATGAAACATACCATAAACCTTTAAAGACAGAGGGCGATCTCATTAATATCATAATATAAGAAAAATTGTTGGGTATAATAAAGTATCTGACCTAGAAGACACAGAACATCCGGAGAGCAGGATAGTTGACAGTTTGTTCCTTAGGTCTGAGGTAATGTAGACATAGCACAGGAGGCTAAAGCAGATATTCTTGGGCCCCTTGTTCATAATTTACACAGCAGCTGCATAACTCATGGGGATAAGTATAGAATAGATATGCCTGGAGCTTGCTCTCTTACCTTTAGATATCAGATTGATAGTAGCATTTCCTGCTGCTAAAATGGGATTTAGGTCAGAAAAATTAGGCCGACTCACCACGTGTCCTCCTAAAGTCTAAATAAAAGAGCGTGACATTAAAAAAGTTTCACTTAGTTATGTGACAAGGAATTATTTAAATAAATATCTCGTGTAAGTTTTTAATTTTCTTCTTTGCTTCACAGAAAGATCTGACAGAGTCTGGAGGCAGCTAGATAGATTCAGACAACATATAGTACCAGGTTCCCACTCTTGACCCCATCCAAACTTGTAGGTTAAGAAAATATTCCTCTTCTGAATTTTAACAAGAAGGAATTGCTTTGGAAACTGTCCCTACTATGCATTTGTGGGGTTTTTTTGGGGAGCATTTCTTGATATGCATGTTTATTTATGAAGATAGACAAAAAGGGAAATGAATAAGAATTTGGGAGTTGGAGCCAGCAGGTTACGGTAAGAGAAGAGAAGGTATGGCCAAAGAGGGGACAGAGTGTCCAACCATGAAGGGTGAAGAGCCTGCAGCCCAAGTAAACTCCATAGGACTAGGGCAGAGCCATTCTCACATTCAGAATGGCTGTGGTACTGCTGTGAAATAGAATGCCCCTCTGTCACCTTCAGCCTTCACGAAAGGCTGCTTCACATAGGCTTGATCAATGAGTCTTTGGGGGGCTTTTTGGGGACAAGTGGATATTGAGAGGATCAGAGTCATTGAGAAAATGGACGTAAGATGCAGGAGGTGAGAACACATGGCAGACACTGAAGATCAGCAGAAGGGCAGAGACAATCAAGAGAAATGTATTGCCACCTGACCCCCACCAAACTTTGCAATGGGGAATGGTTTGAACCAATTACTCTTAAATCCTAAATAATGAGGACACCCCGATAAACTATACAACTAGAAAACTGGGAGGAATCCAAGAATGCACATGTGGGATACACGTTTAGAAATTGACCTTGGTGCAAAGGTCTAAGAGGAGAATGAGCCATAAAAAGGCATTTGGGAAATGTGGGCTGTATTTGCTATCACTTGAATAAGAAACATTTCACAAACTGTCAGAGCTGGACAGGACCTTAGGAGACAGTCCATTTGACTGGTCTTTAATTTCCAAATCAAGAGACAGTGTCTTAAAGAGATCAAGTGTCTTCTCTAAGATCAAACAATTCACAGGTGACTGGAACTAGAATTTGGAAATCTTCTAACTCCAGTGTCATAATCTTATTATAGAATGAATCCCTCACTTTGGACACATATGTATACATACAGTGTGATACCTACCACTTCAAATATACCACACACACACACACACACACACACACAGAAAGTCATATTGTAGAAACTTGGACAACATTGACTTAGGACTTCTCTTCAGAATATTTGTTAACACGAACAAAACTGACTGTTCATCACTGTGGCTTATTTTATCTCACAACAGAGAACATACGGCCATGTTCCTAATCTGGGCTCCCGCAAGTGTCCTCAGATGCTTTAGGAGAGCATGATATGTCTTGGTCTTCTCTTTTGGTTGCTCCGAAACAATAAAACGTAGAGCATCATTCAACTGGGCCAGGCTGTATCCTGCCCCTATTGTCACCCCTGAAAATAACAGAGTGGAACATAAGCTTAAAGTGAACTTTAACAAGATAAAGTTGCATGGAAACAATTTTTTTAAGTATATCTTCTTTTTCTAAGTTTACTTAGAATGACAACAACCAAATATAATGAAAAATATTCCTGGTAATTTGCTTTATTCTTGTGATGGTTAATCTTGATTGTCATTTTGATTGGATTGAGAAGTGCCTGAGGGATTTGTAAAAGACACTTCTGTGTGTGGCTGTGAGGGTATTTCTAGAGAGGATTAACTAATCCTGAATATGGGTGATACCATCCCACAGACTGGGGTCCAGATGGACTAGAAGGAGGAAAAGGGGAAAGCCAGCTAGTATAGGCATTCTAGCTCCCTGCTTCCTGGCCACCATGATGTGACCTGTCCTGTGCCACTATACTCTCTCTGCCATGATGGACTGAAACCTCTGAACAGTGGGTCAAAATAAATCTTTCCTCCTTTCAAGTTCTTTCTCTCAGATATTTTGTTACAGTGATGAAAACCTGCCTAATACAGAAATTTGATGCCAAGGAGTATGGACATTGCTTTGACTGTCTGACAGTGTTGTTCAGAAGCCTTTAGAACTGGCTTGCAGGAGGAATTTGGAAGAGTTTGGAGAAGCAGGCTAGAAAAAGCTTAGAATGCTGGAAGAAGAACTTAATGGACAATTATTGTGGGAGATCAGGAGACCAGAATGCAGACAGTGAAAGACAGACTCATGAGGATTCAGGTGGCAATGAGGACTCTATCAGGAACTGGACTATAGGCCATTCATGTTACATTGTGGCAAGAATTTGTCTACATTTTGTCCATTCTCTAAGACTTTGTGGGAGGCTAAGCTTAACGGGGACCAATTAATTAATTTGTCCGAGGAAATTCCAAGGCAGCCCAAGATTCAGGCTGTGGTGTGGGTTTTGCTGGCTGCTTTTAGCTAGGCTTGTTGTGAGAACTGGGAGTAAAAAGCAGAGCAGGAAGTGTTGAAAGACTTGTATTTTTCCCAGAAAAGAAGTGTGTAAAGTTGGGGCCAAGGAAAGTGTGGCTGCTGCAGAGATTAGGCCATTATGAAGAAGCCAAGTTCATTGCACCAGAACAATAGAACAGATTCTTTGATGGCATCTCAGGAATTGGCCTGACCCCATCCATCAGAGGCTCAGCTTATTTGAAAGACCTTAAGTAGAGAGCGCCAGGGCACCCTGGTTGCACATGGCCACTTGGGGAAATGTTTGCCTGTATTCAGTCATCCAGGCACTCAGCTGTCTCTGCATCTAAAGTGGTCCAGCTACTGCTTGAGATGGAGGCAGATCTTGGGGCAACCCATGAGAGGACATAGAGTAAGTACTTAGTAAATCACTTTGAATGAATAAATGAGCCAGATGTTCTGTGAAATGCTCAAAATTGTCCAGTTCTTGTCATTGATTACTGACAAATAGCTCCCAATAGCCAATGGTTATATCTTACTTGAAAAAGAAGGCACTTACCATCATCTGTGGTGTTCACAAAATATAGTTCTGGAAGTCCAAGTGGAGATATAAAAACTGGATGGAATTCATCTTTAAATTTAATGCTGGGTCCTTAAGGGGAGAAATTTAAAGTAATTAGAAAGAGAAGACAATGGATATTAATAGATGTCATTTACTATAAGCTTGAGAGAAAACTGTGACTTACATTACTGATTTGCAAAAGAAAACAACAAAACTTTCCTAATGATACCATGAGTATTATTAATAAAAATGAATTTGCACTTAAAGAGTTTAAGAAGGGACACAGATGTCTAGGTTGATGAATCTAAACTAAAAAGCATGTGTAATGACCACCTACCCACTGTAGTGTTTCCCATGATGAGTGGGGCTTTCGGGAAATTGGTTCTCAGCTCCAGAAGATCATTCAGGGTCACAGGGGTGATCCATCTAGTCCTCTCTCCTTGGAATGTCAGCCTCTTTTTGTTTGGATCTTCTGCCATTCTCTGCAGATGGACAAAACCAGTTTGCATTCAGGCAGAGATCCCAAACAACCATGTATGTGCTTACTGTCCTAGGTGTCTGAGGGCACTCAGATTACTTTAGCTTTCTAAACAGACCAACTTCTAGGGTTCAGTGTTAGGTAGCAGTTAGCCATGAGTGATGGATGGGGCAGGATAAACAGATGTGGAGACAGGGAAATTATATTATTTTAATAAATATTAAAGGGGCCAGACTCAGATATTGAAACTAGAAAGCAAAAACTAAAGAGCTAGAGCAACTAGCCACTTCATACGATCTCCTTTTAGATGTTTAAGTTACAAGAACTATCTACAATTCAGGACTGTCTGCATCCTCTTTTCTCTTTGAAATGTTCATAAACTCCAAGTCTCCTTGGATGATTGGATGGACAAAAGAATCAAAGACATGTCTAGCAAATGGAAGTCCTAAAGTACCCCTGTTGTCTCTATGATTTGAATAGGCCTGGATGACACCTCCCTGTTTTAGCACCCATCTTAGCCACCCCCATTCAATATATTAATGACCATGTGTATTCCCCTCAGTTTGGAAAGGATAAGACCAGAGATGAAGACCACCATTTTGAATCTTTATCCCCATTTCCTGCATGGGGATAAGGAAGTATTTCTCCACTTTCTCCCATTTCTTCTCACTTTTACCCTGTTATGTAAAATTCCTTTCCTAATAAGCTTTACTACCATTTTTACTGTATTTTCACATCTTGTCTGAATTCTTCTCTCACTGGATGCAAGAACAGAGGTATATATCAACTCTATACTTTTCAGTAACATTAGGAAAGAATGGTCTGTTTGAATCTACCAGATCTGTGTGAGCTGTGTTGAATAAAGGAGGTGTCCACCAATAACTGGATATAGGTAGCATAAGCTCTATTTGTAATTGTGAAGTGAATGTGTAAAGAGAAAGCCCCATGGTAAGTGTCTTTGCTTGGAATTAAAATGCCAGGTTTCTTGTTCTTGTTTTGCCTTACTGTAATCAGAGGAGACTCATCTTTGGGACTAGGACAAAAATTGCTTATAGGCAAAAATTAACTTTGAAAAACAAATCCCTTAAATCATTTGTACTATACAGTACAAATTAAATTTTTTTACAACTCTGTATACATCTGTATCTATATACACATATAATTTTAAAATCCTAGATTCATCCTCAAGATGTCCAGGTTCTCACACTCTGAGGGGTGAAGGGGAATGACAGCCTTTGAGAAGCCAGTACAATCATCTCTCTCCTCTCATGGCATAGTCATGGAATGGAAGGTTGGGCATACCACACAACTTAGATTATTCTCCTCTCTTTCCTTGAGGCAGGCTAGCAACAAAAAAATAACTCTCCACAGGACTATTTTTTTCTTCAACAAACAGACATCCTACTTCCTCAGCACAGCCCCAAGCCATCTCTAGAGCAATAAATCCCCTTTGAGTTGTAAATACCCTGTCAGTCATACATATTTTTGTAAGATAACATCCAAAGGGGTATCTTTGAGCCTGGCTTGAATAAAATGCTGACTATCACACTTATGGTAAAAAAGAAGGCCTGCTCCAAATTTGACCTCTTAGACAAATTCTCTACTTAAGACCTCATGAGAGAGATTCCAAGATGGCAGCTAGAGGGAGGAAGCAGAAAGCGAGCCTCCTATAGTGAAATCTTGGAGAGACACTGGAGACACACTTTGCAGGCATAATCACTGAGAAGAGGCATAACTTTGACCCCTCCACACTTCCAGACGGCGCAGAAAATCTCCACTTCACATTAAACGGAGAAACCAGGAGGGCCCCTGGGCCGCCAGTTGCCCACGCCCAGACGGCTTGGGAAGACACGGACCAGGTGAACTTCACGGTACCGTGGTACTCCCACAGACAAGCTTGGGCCAGAGCAGCATAGCTCCCTGGACAGACTGACCTCCACCCAGGGAAAAAAGAGAAACTGACCAATAAGCAATAAGAACAATAAAGACACACGGGAAAGAGGGTGGGGCGCACTGAGCGCTGAAGATTGGGGGAAGGGAATCCTTCCCGGGACTGTAAATAAACAAGCCGGGCGGGCCGGAGAGCCTCTGGCGGGAGCAGGGCTCGCACCCAGCAACCAGGAGCGGGAAAGCTTGTGAGATTGGCGGAGAGGAAAACTCCACAGGAGAGGAGGGAAGACCCACTTCTCACGTGAACTGTAAACAAACATGGTGGCTGGCAGGAGCAGCAGCACCGCCCAGTAATCAGGAGCAGGAAAGCTTGTGAAAGTGGTAGTGGGAGGAAAACTCCACAGGAGAGGGGGGGAAGACCCACCTCCCACATGAACTGTAAATAAACACGCAGGCCTGACAATGCGGGTGCAGTGTCACCTTTCCCAGTGCTTGGAAAGGGGAAAGCTTGAGAAAGGGGAAAGGAGAACTCTGAGTAGTAAACAAAGCCTGTGGAGCCAGGTGAGTGCTAAGCTCACCCCAGAGATCTGCATAAATAACACCGCCAGCAACAGCAGGCTGACAGCAGCGGGCAGGCAAGCCACAGCCGCAGATACCATTCTCAGAACTGTCTCCAGACTCTTTTTTTTCTTTTTCTCCCTACCTTTGATAAGAGAACAACCAAATTACACCTGCATGCTGAAAAACTTACTGCAACTGTATTGCATTTGAACTTGGGACACTTGGTGGGTTTTTGTGTGTGTGTGTGTGTAGTTTTGTTCTACTTTATGCATCCCCTTTGATGAGACAACTACAGAACAACATCTGAGGCAACATCTCCAGGATTGGAGACTGAGACAGACACCCAAATTATTAAGACTGAAACTTCATTGCATTTGAACTTGGAGGTTTTTTGGTTTTTTAAATTTTTTATTTTTCATTTTATTTTAATTCATTTTTATATATAGATCTTTCTTTCATTTACTTATTTTTACTCTTATCTTTATTTTTTTATTTTTTATTTTCAATCCTCTCTCTGTCTCTCTAATGTCAGTTCAGCTTACTGTGATTAGCACACTAACGCTCCCTGTTTATACCTTTGAAACTTTCTTGTCTGATACCTTGTTCTGTTTTCTCCCTCTTGTCTATTTGTTTTTCCCTTTTCTTTAACTTCTTGCTTTCCACCTCAGCTCACCCTTCCATTCTAAATATTACCATTGTTAATATTACAAGCTAGAAAATACTTAATTGCACACAGTACAGGGACAGTAACAACACCAAAGACAATGACGGGAAGACAGAAAAAACAGGGAAACCAGTTTCCCCACAGCAAGAAATTAGTACAGGAACCAGAGGGGAATGAAGAAAACAGATACTCAGATCCAGACTCCAACAAAATGAAGATAAACTATGCCAAAGGTCCCAATGAAGCCCACAAGAATAATTTAAAAGAAGACATACTACAAGTACTCAATGAGAATTTTATAGAGATGATACTGGATAGGGTCAACCAAAATGTACAGGAGACACTCAAAAAATTCCAAGACAACAAAAATAGAGAATTTGAAAAAGCAAAAGAAGAAAAAACGAAGCACTGTATAAACACCAAAGTGAAAGAGAGAACACGATGAATAAACAGATAAATGAACTCAGGACAAAAATAGACAACATTAAAGAGGAAACAACCCAGGATATGGAAAACCTCAGAAAAAAGAACAAAAACAGAACTGTAAAACAAAACAAGAAGGCCAATCCAGCAGAATAGAACAAACAGAAGACAGAATCTCAGAACGTGAAGATGAAATGGTAATTAAAGGAAAAAACCGAAGAACTATTAATTAAACAACTCAAGACCTGTGAAAAGAAAATGCAAGAACTCACCGACTCCATCAAAAGACCAAACTTGAGAATCATGGGCATCGAAGAAGGAGAAGAGGTGCAAGCGAAGGGAATGCGTAACATATTCAACAAAATAATAATGGAAAATTTCCCAAATCTAGAGAAAGATATTCCCATACAGATGCAAGAGGCCTCCAGGACACCAAACAGACCAGATCAAAATAGAACTACCCCACGACATATCATCATTAAAACAACAAGTTCAGAAACTAAGGAAAGAATATTGAAGGCTGTAAGAGAGAAAAAACAAGTAACATACAAAGGTAAACCCATCAAAATCACAGCAGACTTCTCAACAGAAACATTAAAAGCAAGAAGAGCGTGGGGTGAGATCTTCCGGGCACTGAATGAAAATAACTTCAACCCCAGGATACTCTACCCAGCAAAACTATCATTCAAAATAGATGGAGCAATAAAAGTCTTCCATGATAAGCAGAAACTAAAACAATATGTGACCACAAAGCCACCATTACAAAAGATTCTGCAAGGGATCCTGCACACAGAAAGTGAAACCCAACTTAACCATGAAAAGACAGGCAGCACCAAACCACAGGAAAAGAAAAAGCAAGACAGTAGAGAGTAACCTCAACTTAGGTACACACAATCAAACCTTCAAACAACTAAGACAACTAAATGACAGGAATCACACATACCTATCAGTACTAACTTAATGTTAAGACTTAATTCACCCATCAAAAGGCACGCTTGAAAAATGGATTAAAAAGGAAGATCCAACAATTTGTTGCTTACAGGAGACCCATCTCACCGACAGAAATAAGCATAGGCTTAGGATGAAAGGCTGGAAGAAGATTTACCAAGCCAATGGCCCCAAAACAGGCAGGAGTAGCAATACTTATCTCTGACAAAGTAGACTTCAAACCTACATTGATCAAACGAGATAAAGAAGGACATTCCATACTAATAAAAGGGGAAATAGACCAGAAGGAAATAATAATTATCAACCTGTATGCACCCAATGTCAACGCACCCAATTTCATCAAACATACCCTGAAAGACCTAAAAGCATATATAAACGCCAACACAGTGGTTGTGGGAGACTTTAACACCCCATTATCATCAATAGATAGGTCATCCAACAAAAAATCAATAAAGAAATCCAAGATCTAAAATATGCAATAGATCAAATGGACCTAGTTGATGTCTACAGAACAT